CTTTTCCTCTCTCTCTCTCTCTCTCTCTCTCTCTCTCTCTCTCTCTCTCTCTCTCTCTCCCACACACACACCCCACACACCCTCTCTCTATCCATAGTTTCTCCCCTCCTTTTCTTTATTTTAACTTCTCCCATTGTACAGATTCCCTCCTCTAGGCTTACAAATACACTGAAGTCTTTTCCATTCAAAAAAACAGCAGGAAACCTTGCCTTGAATCCCAAACATATCTCCCACTACAGCCCATTTCTATCTTCCTTCTCATCCCATTGTCTTAAAATTGTAGGGTCACGTGGCAGCCAGGAGAATGTGCCTCACAGACCCCCAGCCATAGGGAGCTTCATTGACCAGAGACCCCAGCTTCTGCACTCTGAAATCCATCACCACAGCAGGGCCAACACCACGCATCCCACAGACGGCTCATGTGTAACCAATGACTGGGCCTGGCTGGCCTGATCCTGAAAGACACAGAGCCCTCCGTGGTAACTTGGTTTGCAGACCAGCCATCAGCCTTGCTAAAGCTTCTTTACCTAGCAGAGCACTCTGAGATGCTTCTACCCAATCCTCCCTCCCTTCACTGGGGTCAGACTGGCATTGTTCTCTGGTGGTTCCTCCAGCCTTCCCCAGCTTCCTCCCCATTTCCTCTCACACGTGTACTTTTCTCAGAAAAACAAAAGTATTGCATTTTCACCTCATCTTGGTATCTGCTTTCCAGAGGATCCGAACTGGACACAGTACAGCTGAAGAGTTTGTTTGTAAAAATACACATCTTCCTCCGCAGATCAGCTGAATCAAACTCTCTAGGGAAGAAATTTTTTAAATCAATTTTTAATTAACTCTAATATGAGTTGAGTGCTTAGCCACTAAACATCTTCAGCCAACCAGATGTGGACCTCGGGAGTAAATGCTACCACTCGGAGTTATCTGCCTTCAGGCCAAAATGACCAGCCTTTTGACCCCCACCTCACTTGTCACCATATATGTCCGCCCGGGAAGAACATGACCTGTGCCAGATGAATGAAGCTGAGACAGACCCTGAAGGAGAAGAGAGCTGTGGTCTGCAGACCACATGCCCCTCAGCAGGGGATCCAGCTGCATCCAGCAACTCCCCCTTCCCTTAGAAGGGGTCTGACAGTCCATGTCCACAAATGAATGGGGAGGTCACAAAATTGAGACCAACATTATGGACACCTTTTTCTAAAAAAATTTTACCATACAAATTAGAAACATGGTATGTGACACCCAGATGGGAAAATAGAAAAGGTCTTTTTTATTTTGTTTTGAGGAATTGTTTGTCTTCTAAGACAGAAAAGACTTGAGCTTCATCAAAGTTAATGAGAAGGATCTAGTTGAGAGGGGAAGCTGAAAACATAAGAGAGATGCGGTATAATCAAAGATCTAAATTTCTTGCAAAAGATAGATTTATAATTTTTCTCTCTTTATACATCTGTAAAAAGCTAAGCATTGTATTGGACATACCGTACAGCCTCAAATATTACCACTTATTATTATTATGATTAATTTTGAAATACTTTCTGATGCTGCCTATATTGTCACAAATGTGCCACATTATTTAAGGGTTCATTTTCATGACTGGTACATCATTTCTCCTGCCTCCTGCTTCAGATGACCAGCTAAGGTATGTAACCTTAAAGTCTGAACTTCGCTAAGACTCAGGATCTTCATTTATAAGGTATGAAAAGTACCTCCTTTGCAGGGTTGTATGTACTTCAGCATTGAGTGCAGTGTCTGACACACATTAACTATTATCATCACCCTGCTTGCTATTTGCTATTACATACTTTGAACATGTCCATGTGATGGAATCCTGTTAAGATGAGCATTACTTCAATGGCGGTAAACTTGCTCTAAGTCCCAATTATTCGCCAACTGATATTTGAGAGTAATACAGAAACACTTAATATTAAACACAATAAAAATTTAAAAATAATGAAGAGATGCAATGTTTGTGCCATGTCCAGTTTCTACATTTGCGTATTAGGTTCCTGTGTGGCACATCAGTTTTTATTTGGCATTTCTTGCAACTATACTGTAGGGAGATAGTTGTCAAATCGATATACATGTAGATGTAGATATATGGAGAGAGATGCAGCATGCCAACGTATATTTTGTTTACATATTAAACACATAGTAATATTTTTCTTGAAGAATTTGGTCTTCTATTTTTTCTTGCTCACTGGTAGAGGAATGATTCTTTCCTACAAGAAACATCACAATGCCAACATGATAATAAATGATAAATGGCAAATGATATGTAGCTTTGGTATGGGCATAATAGAGAATGGTGGAGACTGTGACAAACAGAATGTAAGTTCTCTGCACAGGAGTGAGAGATAATTCAGCTAGCCATCTTCTGGCCCTCCACATCCCCCCTCCAACCTCTCCATTCTGCTCTAGGCCCCCCAAGGCTAACCTTTATGGACTGCCTCAAGAGGCTCCCTTGACTTATAAATTCCAGTTTCATTTGGCCAATGAGGACCACTAGCAAGTCATCAGAGGGTCAGGAGAGCGAGTTTTAGATATTTATTCCTCCAGCTTCCTCCTTGAGGTACCATCATGAGCTGGCTGTCCTTCACCCAAGGTCACAGCTCTGTCAGACAGGCTTCTCCACTTGCTGACTCTGGGTTCCAGATCCACTGCTTCCTGTTCCTTCTGGATTTGCAACCACTCCCTGACGTCACCAGTTCCAGAGGACTGCTCCTGACTGTGTGGTTTCCCTACACACCCTACATACATTTGCCAACAGTTCTCAAATTTTCCAACTTGAGTGTGCCATTTGTTTCCCATCCGGGATCTAATGATACTATGACTCAACTGTGATGATTGTGGGTCCAGTATTTATAGACTCTTCAATTTTTCAAAAGAAGCTGATTATCAAGGTATATATGCAATTCCTACTTTTTTTTAAAACAGTTGATTTAATTTTTCTTAAATACACTATTCAGACCAAGCAAATTATTCCTCTAGGCCTGATTTGACCCATGTGGTAAGTCTACAACATCTGCCATTTATAATGAGAAATAAATCAGATCAAGCATGGCTACTCTCTAGCAATCCAACTCACCAATAATGAGGAGTCTTTTTGTGTGGGTGAGTGATGGACAAAATTTATTTAGTTTTTATGACAGCCAGATTCCATTTCAGTTGGTAGCAGCACACGAGACTGAAAGATCTAATAGGAATCCTATCTAATAAAGAGGAAATATGCTAATTGACCCTCACCATCACAAAGATGGTGGCACCCACAGCCAAAAGGGAGGGAATATGCTAATTGACTGCCCCGCCCTCAAAGATGGCAGCACCCACAGCCACAAGATGGAGGCGCTCAGTCCCCTCAGCCATGCCGGGCAAGACTGGGCCCACCCCCAGGCAGGTCCAGCTGCTCCGTGCGCCTGCCTCCAGAGTCCCGCAGTCCCCTCAGCCCCTGAGCCACCCAGGGCCGCCTGAGGCTCAGGTAACCAGGGCCGGCTGAGGCTTACGCTGCTGGCAGTGGCAGCAGCAGAGGTGTGATGGGACATCACCTTCCCCTGATCGCCAGGTCGCCTCCTGCTCCTGAGGGCTCCCAGACTGTGAGAGAGGGCAGGCCAGGCTGAGGGATGCCCCTTCCAGTGCATGAATTTTCATGCACCGGGCCTCTAGTACAATCATAAAAACTAATGCTGCTGCACACAAATTCCTCAGCATCTGGATATGTTGCAAATGCTATGGCCTGCAACCCAGCAGAACTTTAAAGTCAAATTGTGGTTTGGCCCTTTCCCAATAGCTGATATAGGCTGTTTGTGGCCAGGTTCTTATTAGCAAAGGGGACCTAATACCTACGGCCACCAATGAATGTCAGCCCTCTTGTCTCAGTTCTTGGAAAAAGATAATTGAAATATTGCAATATTTTTCAAAAACTTTAAGTTGATGAAGAGTTTTATGCAAGTGTGTAAATGATCTCTTTCATTTCAAATTCATGAACTAACACATGTCAGCAGATACCAAAGCTTGACTCTCCATCGCGTTTCTAGCAGCAGCACTGAAGTGTTCAAATTATGATGAGATTTGGGTTTTGTGCTTTAGCTAAATGATATGCCTGTCAGAGCTTCACCCTAAATGGTAGAAGCTATGTTAAGAAAAGCACTGAAATGCTGTTGCCACCCACATGCCTCAGGGGACCAGGGTTGTCCTTTGGTTTCTCTTCTTTAATACATACACACCCCGAAGAGGTCCACCACGCGATGATGGTTATTAACCTCTGAGAACTAAATGAATGTACAGGACTAGAAACCAAAACCACAAA